CCTGAGAGCAGTATTTTTACTGTAAGGAAATGAGTCAAGCCTTTACCCTTACATGCTAACAATGGGAAGAAGCAACTGTTGGAGCTTTCCTATTAGTGAGTATGTGCACCTAAATCCTGGTCCATCTGTCCTTCATTTATTCTTTTTTTTTTTAATAAATTTTTTCCACAGGTGCATGTGCTCACCAGAGGGAGAGAGACAGAGACAGAAAGAGGGAAAGTGAGAAATCACCGCCTGGCGGGATCAACATGCCATAGTCCCTTCTCCTCTATTCTCCTCTCAGGATTTTGGGCACACACGCACATGTGCCCAGGATTATTTTCAAGTCGCTGAGTCCAGAACTCAAACCGCAGTTGGCCATATGGGAGTCCAGCACCTTAACCACAACACCACCCTGCTGGCCTCCCTTCATTCTTTCTTGAAGTTATTTATAGAAGAAATGCCTTTCTTTCAATCTTGTTGAATTGTGTCTCGCCGGCCCCATCATCCAGTTTAGACCTCTGTTGCTGATTATCTGGTGAAATGAAGGAATGGCTTCTGGCCTGTGACCTTGTAAGGGTGTCTGAACATCTTCTGAAGTGGTTGTCACTTTTTTTTTTTTTTTAATATTTATTTATTTATTTATTTTTGCCAGAGGGAATGTACACTCATCAGAAAGACAGAGAGAGATAGAGAGACAGAAAGTGAGAAATCACCCCCCAGGGAGGATGGCCATGCCACAATCCCTTCTCCTCCATTCTCCTTTTGGGATCTTGGGCACACACACACACATGTCCAGTGTGAGTTTAAGCCCGGACTTGAACTGCAGTTGACTACATGGGAGTCCAGCGACATAGCCATTACACCATCTGCTGGTCCCACAGTTGTCACTTTTTATCTTGTGGAATGTTGGACATTTATGAGACAGAAATAATAAAGGACAGTATCTTTGTTCTATAATGGGGGGAAAAGCCTAACCTTCTAGTAAATTCTCTCTTTAGTTATACTTAAACCTTAAGTTTTTAAAGGGATCTGAGATTTTTTTTTTTTAAAGAGTGAGAGAACAAGAATCAACCCTTCTGTAAAGCTTAGTATTGTAACATATATCAGTTACGATTAGGTTTGTGAGCAAAAATAGCAGTGGCTTAAAACAAAAGTTTTTTCTCTTACATGTAAAGAAAAAAAAGACTGAAGGTAAGATATTCAGGCATGGAAGGTATGGAAGCACCATGATTATCAGGGACCCAAGTTGTTGTTTTTTTTTATTTTTTAGAGAAATTTTTGCTATAGGGTGTGTGTGCTTGCTGGAGAGACAGAGACAGAAAGCAAGAAATCACTCCCAAGGGGCATGGCCATGCCATGATCCTTTTTCTCCTCCATTCTCTTCTCAGGACTTTGGGCACACATGCACATGTGCCCAACGTGAGTGTATGTCTGAGACTCAAACTGTGGTCAACTACATGAGAGTTCAGTGATGTAACTATTACACCATTTGCTGGTCCCACGGACCCAAGTATTTTTCTGTCTCCTCATGGTATCCACTTCATGGGCCCAGAATGGTGCTCAAGTTTCAGCTGCCCCATCTAAATTCCAGCTGGAAGGACATTTCCTAGTTGTTTTATGTGGAACTACTTATATACCATTGGCCAGAACTCAGTCACATGGCTATATTAGCTGCAAGGGAAGCTGGGAATGTAATCTTTGTTCTGGGCTACTGGTACTCAAATAAAAGAATAGGATTTTTTTTAAGTGAAGAATAAGAGAATAATGAGTATTAAGAGATAACAGACAGTCTTTGGTACATGAAATGTACTCTAATTTCTTTATGGCAAGGTCATTTGCCTGTGGATTTTGTTTTCTGTTTGTTTGTTTGTTTGCTTGTTTTAGTGTACTAATTCCATACACACATCTGTCTCCTTCCCTAAAGCATGCTCCCTAGAGGGGAAGGGGTAATATTCATCACATGTTTAGAGCCTAGTAGTGTTTTGACCTTAGCAGAGAAGGCCTAGGCCTAGGATACAGGTGTTTTTTTGTTTTGTTTTGTTTGGGTTTTTTTGTTTTTTGTTTTTTGTTTTGTCTCATTTTGTTATGTTTCTTTTTTTTTCCTTTTTATTTTTGAGAGGTTTTTTTCACTATAGGTTGTGTGCATTCACCAGAAAGACAAAGAGAGACAGAGAGACAGAAAGTGAGAAATCACCCCCCAGGGGGGCAATCCCTTCTCCTCCATTCTCCTCTCAGGATCTTGGGCACACACACACATGGGCCCGGCATGAGTTTAAGCCACGGGGTCCGGGACTCGAACTGCGGTCGAATACGTGGGAGTCCAGTGACATAGCCATTACGCTAACTGCTGGTTCCCTGTTATGTTTCTTTTTAAGAAGAGATGTCAAGATACATCAGTAAAGGAGTAGAGAATATGAGACAGAGAAGGGAAGAAAACTGATGAGAAGATATATTAGTGGACAGATTACCATTGTGGACAACTGTAGTTCATTCACACTGGAGAAGCAATGAAGAAGTCTGTGAAGTGTACCTTAGGATTTTCCCTTTAAGGGAGAGGGAGGCTGGGGCATTTTTCCACAGATTTCTAAAACTCATTGGTTGAGGGTTTCACATAGAGGTACTAGATTTTCAGTAATTTCAGAGTTCTCTGCACATAAGTTGAGTCAGCTCACTCAGCACCAGAAAAGTTCTTAATTGGAGAAGCCCATAGACATGGGTCCTCAAGGTCAGAAGTTGAAAGCATGTTGTAAACTCCTCGGCTACAAGTCAGCTCTGAGGTGGGCCAAAAAGATGCAAAGGAAAGCATTTACTTAGTGTCTAACATAGAAGGTGTTTTCTTTTCAGGATGGGGTTTAAGGACCAAATAAGATTAGAAAAGAGAGTGAGGTCATTTTACTATTATGCACTTAAAGAAATAATAAGTCATGGGATCAGCAGTTAGTGTAATGGCTATGTCACTGGACTCCCACATAGTCGACCGCGGTTCGTGTCCCAGACCCGGTGGCTTGAAACACGCCAGGCACATGTGCGTGCATGCCTAAGATCCCAAGAGGAGAATGGAGGAGAAGGGATTGCCGCGTGGCCATCCCCCCTGGGGGGTGATTTCTCGCTTTCTGTCTCTCTGTCTCTCTCTGTCTGTCTGGCAAGCACACACACCCTATAGCAAAAAATACTCTTAAAAAAAAAAGAAATAATAAGCCATTCTGTTAAATAAATCCTGATGTAAGCATGTAAGAACCTGGAAGAGAAAATCAAATATACATAACACATTTACACATATATACACCCAGGAATTATGGGAAATTTAAATGACTACTCAAGGACGGCATTTTCTGCTTACTGTCTCACTGATGACTTGTGTTTTCTCCTGCAGCTACCTGCTCCCTGATGATAGCAAAGCCACCAAGCATAAAACTGTGGTAATTAAAAAGAGTGTTAACCCTCAGTGGAATCATACTTTCCTGTTCAGTGGTCTGCATCCCCAGGATATAAAGAATGTTTGCCTAGAACTTACCATCTGGGACAAGGAGGCATTTTCCAGCAACATCTTTCTAGGAGGAGTTCGTTTGAATTCTGGAAGTGGTAAGCAACTTAGGGACACTGTGAGATGGTCTGTGACTAGGCACTGAGCAGGGGGTGTGGCTCCTATAGGTGTGATGTGTAGTAGATCTATATATGGTTTCAGCTGTAGCTGAATCCAGAACTTACTACAGATGCTCCATTCCTTTAGCTAAGGATTTGTTCCTTGTTATAATATAAATATCACTACTGTTAACTTTGTGTCCTTAAGCTAGATGTTTGGGAGATACAATGTTTATATTCTGTCCTTTTATAAAATATTATTTACACCATAGTCTAAATGAATTTCCAGAACATAATCCTTCAGGTTTTGCTCGAGAGAGGATCACTAAGACAGCATAGGCTTCTGATAGGGAAAAAGGAGCTTCTAAGACCAACGCTATGCCATCCTCTTCTCAGTTCTGTCCAGCACTTGCAGTCATTATTCACCCTGGTGGGATTAAAAGGAAGTCTAATTTCTCCTTTAAAATTACCATCTATAACATCTAATTTTGTTCAAACAGGTCATAGAAACCCACCATTGGTGCCATAAAATATAACTATTATAGGGTATTACAGGGTGAATTAGTTGTGTGGGGTGAAGGGCACGTAGAATTACAGTAGTAGAGCACATGAGCACTAGTAGAATATTTGAAGCCCCCCAAACTTTCATTATCCCATAGCCTAGGCCAGACATAGATGGTACACATGCTCCATGGCTAACATTTTTGTTGAGAAAGACCCTACCCCTATGATGCTTTACTTAGTTACAGATTAAGGGGAGCTGAGGATATCTATGTCACCAAAGAAAAAAAAAAACTCCCTAGGTCAAAGAAGTGGCCTTACTTGAAAGGGAGAGCTTCAGCCTAGTTGTTTCACATTAGCTCAGTTCAAACGAGCCAGCTTTCTGCTAAACTGCCCAAGTAGATAGGAGACGAGCTACCAAGGCCATCTTGGTTTGTCTCAAATCGTCTATCGTCTAGGCAGAAGAGAATAATGCAGCCTGCAAAGAATTGATTCCATCTGACACCACACATTAGATATGGTAGAAGAAAAAAAGCCTGTGAAGGGCTTTCTGACTGAAAGGCCCCCTCAGATGTCCTCCAGAAGACCAACACATTTAGTCTGTGAAGTGTAATGCTGTCCTTTCCCTTCTTCAGGTGTGAGTCATGGGAAAAACGTGGATTGGATGGACTCCCGAGGGGAAGAGCAGCGCCTTTGGCAGAAGATGGCTGACAACCCTGGGACCCCAGTAGAGGGTATACTCATGCTCCGTTCTAGCATGGGGAAGTGCAGGCTCTGAAAGGACCAGTTCTCCGTGAATGAGGCCTCCGGGGACTGTCATTTCCAGCTATCATTTCCTACCAGCCACAGGCTGAGACTGGGGATTCTGCTTCCTGCCATTACTCATCTGATGATATTGGAATTTGAGGGGAGCAATGTCAGTGGTATGAACATTTCAGTGTCTTGCCTAGTGCCTAAAAACACGTGTACCTCTATATGTCCATGGGCCAGGGCATTTTTGATTGGATGATAGAAATTGTACTGGACTGGGCTGTCAACAAGCAAATTACAATGGCTCCTAGTGTTTAGGCCATAAGGGAAATGGCACAACTTATTTGAAATTGTAGTTGAGACTGAGGGTCCCCAACTTTCTACTAATTCTGAGTTACTTTAGAATTCCTCAAACACTTTGAGGAGAAAGAGGGCTACTGAGAAGGTAGATCACTTGAAGGTAGATCACGCTTTGCTCACCATAGAAGACACGGTGAGGGTAGCTGCCGGGGCAAGCGAGTAGTCCTGTTACTTGTGATTTAACCAAGTAATCTTTCAAGGTGAACTGACAGGGCTTTCTATAGTGATTACAGAATTTCTTATCTAAAACAGATTGCTTTTGAAATTGAACAGAGATAAATAGTTACACCAGAACAACAGATACAAACTAAGATTGACCTGGGACACTTGGGATGTAGGGTCACTTTATGGATGACCTAGCAACAAAAGAGCTCTGTTGTAAAGATTTATTTTATAAAATGATCTAAGCCGTGAACTAAAAGGGAATAAGAAATAATGGTCAATTGATACATCTTCTCACATTTTGTTCATTGATGAGACTAATTTAATGAAAAAGAAGGTACTCCACCTGCTGTTTCATTTGTCTCCCTTCTGCCATGTAATGGGAGTTTTTGACTCTATTAGCTCTTTCCCCCTCATATTCTCCTTTCCTGAGTTTTTGTTATCTCCTTTGCAGCAGTTAGCTATTGCTACAGTAGTGCTTAATGACAAACTACCCCAGATATCAATGATTTAAAATGATAACCCTTTCTTCTCATGGGTATTAAGTTTGGCCAGGACATCTCTGCTTCCTGCTACAGGCCTGAGGGTCTATATTCACTGCTTACATCTCATCCACTTTAACGAAGGGATAGCTAGAGCATTATGAGGGCAGAGATGCAACAGGATGAGCCCCACTGCACAAGTACATCTTGAGCTTCTGCCTGTGCCATGTCTATAGATATCACATTGTCATTTATCAGTGGAAATCATATGGCCAAGCCCCAAATCAAGAAGCAGAAAAATGTGCTCTGCTTACAATGAAGCCATGACAGAGGGAGGATACAGGAAGGAATGGAGAATTGGAGCCAACGGCTCAGTCTACCATTCCTTCCGTCACCTGGAATCTTAGATGTTTGAGCCAAAATACTTAGATGCAAAAGTAGTTAAAGCCAGAAGGGATGTCAGTCCTGATTCCTCACTTAAAGATTCCAAAATTGAATCTAAGAGAGCCAAGATGATTTTCCCAAGGGCATATAGAGGCTGTAACTAAATCTGGACTCAAACCCAAGGTATATCTTCTGGGCCAGCATTTTTTTCACTGTCATCCTTGGCATGAGTCTATACTTATCAAAGTGGATAGAAAAGCATATGTCAAGGAAGACAGAACAGTGTCTGATTATTTAGCATGTACATATCTGACCCAGGTATATTGTTGAGTTCTATTGTAGCCCCTCTGCTCATTTTTTTATTCGAGTTAATATACAATCCTTGAAAGTGTGAAAACTCAATTTTAGTAGAAGAGCTAGAATCATCTTCAGACTTATTCTACCTAGTTGTTCCATGTTTCAGATTTCTTCTTGAACTTTGAAAACTGATTTAAGAATATGTTTAGTCTTATTCTTGGTAAAAGAATAAGCAATTCATTTTCATTATTGTTCCAAAATAAGCCATTTAATTTTAGAAGATTGAAATTATTAATCTAGTGTAGTAATAAGTACAATGAGTATGCTACTTTTTTTTTTTAACTCACACCCATAGTCCTATGCTACCCTTCCTAAAACAAAACAAAAAATGTAAGAATGTCACTACTGCCCATATTTTGGAAAAATAAATTGTCTTCAGACTTGATGTGACTTGTGCTGTCTTCAGTGAAATTTTTAGGGGAGATAAAAGGATAATGATGGTGAAATTTGAAGACATCTCTGAAATGGGCACAATGAAGTGGATTTATTCATGTGGCAAAATGATAATAACTTGAACTCAAGATGAGCATTGTTCATATTTAGAGCAATTCTCTGTATCTTGGTTTCATAAAATCCATTACCTAACTACATTTTCCATAATGGAAAATCCAGATATGCAGAAGTCTATCAGAAACGTGTTGGTGAGGACCAGCAGTTAGCATAATGGCTATGTCGCTGGACTCCCATGTAATCGACTGCGGTTCAAGTCTCAGACCCGGTGGCTTAAACTCATGCTGGGCACATGTGCATGCGTGCCCAAGATCCCGAGAGGAGAATGGAGGAAAAGGAATTGTGGTGTGGCCACCACCTGGGGGGTGATTTCTCGCTTTCTGTCTCTCTGTCTCTCTCTGTCTTTCTGGCGAGCACACACACCCTATAGCAAAAACCTCTCCAAAAAAAAAAAAGTTACGCCTTTTGATCTACAGAAGGAAATTTACCATTTTGTCAAAACAAAGCCAATAGAAACACAAACTATTGCTGTCACTGTGAGTAATGCGTAATGTTTCAAAGACTATCAATTGTACCTCATTTGCCTCACTAGAAGTCATCAAACGATTCTAGAGGAGGGGTTCTTTTCTACTTTGAAAAGGGGCATGATATGTGTATATGGTTAATATTGCCTATAAATGGCAAAGTACATTGGATAGTATATCATATTTCCCTCTTTGGTATTTTAGCACAAGGCTTGTATCTGCCTTCCTGTTTTTTCTGAACGAGACAGAAACTAATACAGTATATAAATAAGCTGTTTCATTGTAATCATTGAGGCAATAGTTTAAATTAGAGTTTTCTGAGGAGCAGATATCTGATTTTAGGATGGCAAAGGGCTAGATAAGTGTTTAAATATGAAAATTTATATCTGTTTATTATTGAATGCATTTACTTTTAAGAAGGAATTTAATTGCTCCTTTCCAACAATTTTTCTGCTTAGCCATTTTGTCTTCTAGAGGTTGAAACTCATTTGTGCAAATTCAAGGTTGATAGGTTGCCTTCTAAAAAGGATGGCTCTGATTAGAGGCAGGGCTTTTATTTTGCTGAATGGGGTATGCAAGATTGAGCCAGACATAAATTGCTAAGGACATAAGAGAAGGGGAAGTTGACTTCACTGGAGTCTTCCTTTTTATCCTTTCTACTAGGCAGGTATTTCTCAAAATAAATGTATAAATATTAGGCCAGTCAGGTGGCATGTTAATTAAGGTAACTAGATCCCACATGACTGACTATGTGGTTCAAGTCCTGGACACGAAGGCTTGAAAAACATACTGGGTACATGTGCATACATTCATGTCCAAAACCCCAAGAGAAGAATGGAGATGGGATTATGATGTGGCCATCCCCTCTGGCAGATGATTTCTCATGCTCTCTCTCTGGCAAGCCCACACACCCTATAACAAAAAAAAAGTTTTACAAATATTTAGAGAACATCTGTGAGATTCACCATATCGGCCCAAGTGTTAGACCAACTCTGTGAATGCATTAGGTCCCCATTTCTGAATTGAGCACTGTAGTCATGAGTAGGCTGAATTTTTCTCTTGGACCTGAGAATGAGTCCAGGATTTTAGTTGGCTGAAAAAGAAAGATAGATACACCTTCTGGACCAGCAGGTGGCATAATGGTTAAGGTACTGGATGCCCACATTGCTGACCACCCATTTCAAGTGGTAGATTGTGGCTTGAAACTCACGCTGGGTGCATGTGTGTATGAGCCCAAAATCCTAAGAGGAGGCTGGAGGAGAAGGCTGTCCTCCCTGAGGGGGGTGAGTTCTCACTCTGTTTCTTTGTCTTTCCAGCAAGTGCACATGTCCTATAGCAAAAATCCCTTTAAGAAATAGACATGCTATCAATATCCTAAGAATGGCTAAAAATCATTGGATCACTGAGACATTAGAATAGGGACTCACCTTTGGAAGAAGTAAGAGGGATAATTTTCCAAAATCTACCATTGCCTGGGTCACTTACATGTGAGTAACTTAATTTCTGTTTGTTGTTTTTAATCCCTGGCACTCACTTGCTTTAGCTGCCAATTTATTCTCCTATTTTTTAAGGTTTTTGCCATATGGTGTGTGCACTCACCAGAGATACAGAGGGAGACAGTGAGAGGGAAAGTGAGAAGTTCACCCCCCCACCCCCCGGAAGAATGGCCACTCTTCAGTCTCTTCTCCATTTTCTTGGGTTTGGGGGCATGTATGCACACACACCCAGCGTAATTTCAAGCTGCCAGGGAGTTCAGCACCTTAACCCCTATGCCAACCTGCTGGCACCACTCTCCTAAACTTATGCTCTGATAAAAAAAAAAATCAGTCACTTTGCTTTTAATTAGTAGACTTTGTTAGACTACTATTAGGTTCACAAAAAAATTGAGCAAAAAGTACTGAGATTTTGCCATATACTAATACTATCCCCCATTTGATTTTCTCCTATTATTGAAATCTTGCCTTAAAGTGGTACAGTTTTCACAATTTGATAAACCTGATTGTTAACTAAAGACAATAGCTTATGTTTGGGTTCATTCTTGGTCTTTTACAGTTCTGTTGGTTTTGATAAATGCATATCATATAGCCACAGTTTGGTTATCATACAGAGTATTTTCAATGCCCTAAAAATTCCATGTGTTCCGACCCTTGACAATTACTCATCTTTTTATTGACTCCCTAGTTTTGCCTTTTACAGAATGTCAGAGAGTTAGAATCATATGCTGTGTAGCCTTTATACAGTTACTTCTTTTACTTGTCAACATGCATTTAATTTCTCTATGTCTTTGTGTGGCTTGATACCTTTTTTTTTTTTAGATAGATTTTTGCTATAGGGAGTTTGCACTTGCTAGAGAGACAAAGAGACAGAAAGTGAGAAATTATCCCCCAGAGGGGATGGTCATGCTACAATCCCTTCTCCTCCATTCTCCTCTTGGGATTTTAGGCACACACGCACTCACCCAGGATGAGTTTTACCCTGACAGATCTGGGACTCGAACTGCAGTCAACTACATAACCATTTTACCAGGCTAAATTTTATTTTTGTCTGAGTTATAAGAACACTTAACCTGAGATCTACCTTCTTGGTTAATATTTAAGCATACAAGCATATAAGGCGGTATTCATTATATTTTTGGCACATAATAATTTTTGTTTCTTTTTAAATAGAGAGAAAAAGAGAAGGGTAGAAGAACTCTGAGGAAACAATAACAGTTTTTGAAAACGCCATGCAGATGGTGGGAGGTCTGCATTCATTTTGCTAGCTTTGTTTGTTGTTACTGCTGGCTACAAACCACTGTTGCTGTTTGCTTTTCTTCCCATGTTTAGTGCAAACTTAGTAGCTGTATGGTTCAGGAATAGAGCTGTGTAAGGGGAAACAGCCTCCAATTGCCAAAGAAATTGAAAGACCAAAGAAAATGAGGCAAGTCAAGCTTGCCAGCAGCAAAATTCACTAGGGAACTTACCAACAGAAGTGCATCTTGGTCAGCAGCAAGATAGGTAGTTTTCACATGGGAGGGTTCACTATGCTTAGAGGCAGGGGTCTACGGTCTGTGCAGATTGCAGGTTATGGAATGTGCATACGGTGTTTGTGTCATGATTGGCAATTGAAAATGTACTGCTTCAAAGCCCAGGTTAATGGTTACATTTACCAGATGGGAATCCAGGAAGGGGTCTGACTAGTACTGGCAGGCAGTCAGCGTTAATGGGAAAATACAGTAGTCAGGATGGAAGATTGTGTACAAGATGGAGTCACCCTGGCTCTGCACAAATATGTAAACGCTTAACCCGCCTTCTTCTGTGTTTCTGTATGGAATACATATCCCAGACCAAAGTTTGTGCCATCCTGTCCTTGCTGCAAATCATAATGTGTTTGTTTCATTAAATCTGCTTCCCTGGTATCTCTAACAGGTTACATTAAGGTATTCCTGAATATTTTTTTTTGGAGAGGTTTTTGCTATAGGGCACGTGCGCTCGCCAGACAGACAGAGAGAGACATAGAGACAGAAAGCGAGAAATCACCCCCCAAGGGGGATGGTCATGCCGCAATCCCTTCTCCTCCATTCTCCTCTCGGGATCTTGGGCACGCACGCACACGCGCCCGGCATGAGTTTTAAGCCACCGGGTCTGGGACGTGAACCACGATCGACTACATGGGAGTCCAGCAACATAGCCATTACGCTAACTGCTGGTTCCCATGTGTTCCTGAATTCTTGAAAATGGATTATATGTCCTTGAAGATTAATTATATATCACCTACTCCTCCTGTTTTTATATATATTTGTCTCTGGTGAAAAGCACATTTGCTGAATTGCCACACAGACTGGATGAATTTCTGGTTTCTGGTTTTAAGCCTAGAAGAATACTGATGTTCAGCTAGTAGAATTAAGGTGCTGGATCCCACCTGGTCAGCTGTGTCATTCAAGTCCTGGACCCAACGGCCTGAAAATCATGCTGGGCCTGTGTGTCTGCATGCGCAAAATCCTGCGAGGACAGTGGAGGAAAAAGGATTCTGGCATGGCCACCCCACCAAAGAATGATTTCTCACAGTCTCTCTCACTCTCTCTCTCTGACTTTCTGGCAAGTACATGTACCCTATAGCAATACCCTGTAACAAAATGAACAAACAAAAA